CGTATATAAAATGTGTCGCAAAATTCAGAATTTAAAAATTAATTAACTAAAAATTATTAGCACAATAATGCTTTATGGGGCTAAAAGTACAAAATCTAAAATTTTATAAAAATAATTGCAAGTTTTTTTTCTAACTTTTAACAAAATAATATCAATAATTTTAGGAAAATACATATTGGTAAAAATTTTCAATGCTAGTAATATAAAGTTTTAATTTAATAAGATTAAATTACAATCACAAATATAAAACTGTTAATATAAATATTAAAAACTTAGATGCCAAAACTGAACATGGAAACCTCAGTTTAGTTGATACAATGTATAACTGAACAAAAATTAATTTATGAATGATTCCCTGCCCCCAACCAATAAGCTACAATAAAAAAAAATTTGCAGCTTCTGGCAATAATCTATCTCTGGATTTAAAGTTAATTAAAATTAGTTTTTTTTTTATAAATTTTGAAAAGTGCATGATAGAAAGTTTTTAAAAGCATGGTGATTTTGCAACATCCAAAGTAGAAAAACAACTAAAAATTTGAAATTTTTTATAGTTGGAAATTGATATTTGTTAACTGGATTTCCCACTTTTTTTTCATTTTAAGGATTTGCCTGCTTTGAAAAGGCAAACAAAATCACAAACAAACAAAAACAAAATAGTCTAATTTTAAGAAAATCCTTAAAACCAAATAGTAAATTAAAATCAAGGGAAATAAAACAAGAAAATAAATTATTTTACCAATCATTTTTCTTAATCATTGTATTTACATCTGTCTCATAATCACACAGCAACTTTACAATTTCCCAATGATTAGCCAATACTGCCCAATGCAGAGGTAATTTACCCTTGGAAAATTTAATATGTACAATAAAAACAATAAAAAACAAATCATACAATAATAAAAATAATAATAATGAAATTTTATAGTGATGAACAATTTCAAAGAAACATGTAAAACATGAAATAATTTATGAATCAATTCATAAATAGGGTGTAAAATGCAAAAAAAAGCTGCTATTTGATTGCTGTATAATAATAGAAGTTCAAAAATGTTAAGTGCAAAACACATTTAGGTTATTGTAAAAATACAAGAACTTTTAGTGAAGAAAGCGTGCACACGTGAAGTATGTAAGCGTATTAAAACATTTATCATATTAATTATAAATGTTTTAATAAAAAATATCGTTGTGCAGTATTTATTTATTTTTAAACTGTGATCAATGACTGTAACAGCAAGAAAAAAAATAGTGAAGCCATTTTGAAAAAAATTGAGTTACTTAAAATTAAGATGATAAAAATTTAAGTCCTGTCTTAATCATCATTATTTATTAGTTCAAATAAAATAAATAAATAAAATTAAGATATCATATTCTGGCATGATTTAGCATTGGAGCACTACTATTTTGAAATTTAAAAAAAAACCACAAAGTTAATGCAAATACATAGAAAATCATTTTCGTTAAATGATGAAAATGAAATGGATGGACAGACATGTGACCTGTTTAGGATTAAAAAAAAAAAACACTTGAACAACATGATGTGGCAAAAAACAGGCAAATATCATAAAAACTACTAAAAAACGCTATACTAAACACAAATACTGTGATCGGTATTCAGGAGATATTTTACTTGTTTATATTACTGAAAAAGTTTTTGTTAAAAGTTATTTTTTTATTTCATTGCTTTACACGTTACTATACATTACTAGACAATTTGACACACCAAATTAAGCTAATTTAGAAAAAAATAAGCTCACATTTTGCTCTTTTTTTATCAGTTATACAATGCAAAAATATGAGGTCTCAAATTAAGATTGAAAAATTCTAGTCGTACAAAATTTAGACAAACAAAAAACTAATTGAACTATTCTAAAGAAAACGAAAATATCAACCAAATCAACAAAGCTATCAGTAAAACCTACTTAAAAGGATGCATTCAAAACAGTTCCAGCTATTATACAGATTCAGATCTATAGTCAGAAATATACAAATCTAACCTAATAACAAGGATAGATTTCACAACTAATTAAACGAAAAGCATTAAAAAAATTTTAACAATGAATTTTAATTCAAGGGGTGGATAATACTCAAAATTGAACAAATTGAAAAAGACAAAGAGTTATAAAACTAATAAAAAGAATAAAACTAATCAATTTTATAGTAAATGACTGAGAGAAAAAGCATGGAATCACAAAATCAGTTTAAAAAGAATAGAGCTACTCAACATCAAGATAAAATCTTAGAACCAATAATAATGATTATTTCTATTTATTCACTTACAAAATAAAAAATAATTAATATCATCTGGCATGATTTAGTGCGGACATAAAATAAATTTTTAAAAAATATCTACTAAGTTTATGTAAATACATAAAGACAAATTTCCTTAAGACACAATCCTTAATTTCCTTAAATGGAATTGGGTAAAAAAAATTATTATTACTTTTTTCAAAGTAAACAATGTTAGTGAAAAATGACAATGAAGCAAATGCAAATACATAGACATTCATATCTATAAAAAAATTCACTTGATTTTTTTTCACATTAAGCAATGTACTATGTGAAAGATGACATTAGAGCTAATTTGAATACACAAACATTAATTTCTATTAAAAGATTAAATTGAAAAAGTTCTTTTTTTCAAATTGAACATTGGAAAATAACATTACTTAGAACTTATGCTTTATAAAATGATATTAATATAAAAAATCAACACATTTCTTTAAAATATATAGTGAGATTTTTACCCAAAAGCATTCTGAATGTTTGCAGGCATTTCTTTGTGGAGTAACATTTGAAATAAATATGCATGTCCTCCTAAGGCACACCTAAATAAAATCATAATATTATAAACAATTATTTACATATGGACATTTTGGTCTATTCTTGGTTTATTCCTGTTATAAATTTGATTAGTCTATTTTGATTTAGACATTCCATCCCATTTCTTACTTTTTGTTATTACAGGAGTAGCTATGCTTAAATAGCCTTAAATATAATTTAGCTTTGTTTTGTAAAAAATGACTTAAGCAATGATTTAAGAATTCTTTTTCTTTGTGTTTGTAACACATAAAAATTGGCAATATACAAATTTGTTTAATTATAATAAAGTTTTTTTTAGTTTTATTTCCTTCATAACATCCATATTTGATACATTCAGTCAAGAAACATAAAGTCTGGTCATTTGACAGGCTATGGTAGAAATAAGTATGTATTAAGTGTTGGTATGTTTAGTGTAGGATAAAGGTAAATTCTATTGCAAAAAAATAATGCACGATTTTTAAATTCAGAATTATTTAGTTCGGAACAGAAAGTAAGATAATTTTATTTTGTTGCATAAATGAACAAATAATGTGAGTCTAAGATAAGTATATAAAATTTTGTTACAGTACTGTCGCGTTAAAAAAATAACAACGTTTCAATTAGTTAATCTTTCTTCATACCAATATTTAGCTCAAATTTGAAAAATTTAATTAATCCAATATTTTTAAAATCACTGTAAATATGCCACTAATGTAATTTAGAGGATGATAACTCAATTCAAAATTAAAAAATTCTACGATATGAGTAATGTATTGATAATAATAGATTATCTTTAAACTCAAATGAAAGAGACAAATCAATAATTATGAACCTCTAATCTTTAAGAATTTGTAACTACATTTGCTAAAAATAATAAATAAGGGTACGACCCCTTAACTCACAGGTTTTCAGCAATGGCATCATTCCGCATTTGTCTTTCTTATTGATAGGCAAGCCATGCTTTACCAATAACTTAATTGTAGATAGATGAGCTTTCAGAGAAGCATAATGAAGATAATTATTTAGATAAAATTGACTACTTAACGGTAATTAGATAAAAGGCAGTTTAAATATTGCATAAGCACCCAGCAGGAGAGAGGGAGTTTGCCATCTACTTATTTTTGCTGCCAAGGGAGGAGGGGAGTTAAGACCAATGCGTGTGATATTAAAATCATCTTAACACAATACAGAGTTTTGATCTTCCTGAATTAAATGTAATTATCAGGGGCTCACAGAAAAACTCAAAATTATTACATGTTCAGCTGAGCATGTCCGCAGAATATGTTACATTGATCGAATGAGGCTTGGGAAAAATGCAGGTAATTTTTTATCTAATTAACAAAAAAAATTACTAGAAAATTTTGTGAGGATAAAAAATGTGTCACAAAACAAAACAAAATGCAAAAAAATTGTTACAAAATTTTTCTCTGTAAAAATAATCAATATATACATTTTTAAATTTTGTTTCAATATATTATATGGCAGTTTTTTTATTTGTTATTTTTAATTCCTAGATTTTATACAGAGTTCCCATTCAATTTCAGAAGAAAAAAATTCCCTGACTTTTACAGGTATATCAGGCAAATTTCAATGAAAATTTATACCAAACTTAATCTATACCATGCAATTTTACATCAAAAAATTTAATTTTCTTATTTGTGATGTCAAATATAAGATTTTGTGAGCACACACATATAATACAAGGAGAAAGAAACATGGAAAAATTTCACTAAAAAGTGGAATTTTATAAAATAATTGTACTAGATGTTAGAATTATCTAACTCAAATCTCAATAACTGATTACTGTTACTAACAATTTTAAGACTGGTTATTTTCTAGGTATTATATAGGAATTTTTCAAACTTTTTGTAAAAAATTGAAATTTTTCCTGACTATCCCCTGCTTTTTAGAGTTAAAATAAAATTNATTATTACATGTTCAGCTGAGCATGTCCGCAGAATATGTTACATTGATCGAATGAGGCTTGGGAAAAATGCATGGGTTTATGTCCATGGGTTTATAAGGAGACCTTGAATTTTAAATAATTGTTTTAAATTAAATAATTATTGTCCTTCATTAAAAAAATATTATTAAAAATTTTAACAATATACAAACTTTACTTCCTAAATATAGCTTGAAAAGATAATTGTAACATGAGTATTATAATTATAAATTTAGAATTAGATTTATAATTATAAATTAACAATAAATTTAGGAGAAATTTCAAACCAAAACAAAAAAAGAAAAAAAAAAACTTTTCTGGAGAAATATTATGGAAAATATAAAATGATCTGATAATTTTCTGCTCTCCTGGACAGGTCTACAAAATATACCAAACATACATACATATATATATATATATATATATATATGCAAAATATGTACGTAAAATGTATATATATATGTATAAAAGAAACTTAATACCTGTCAAACCAGTTTTGTCAGAACAGTCCAGTACAACTCCATTCTTTGCCATAATTTCAATGACGTCATTAGCATTGTTTGCAGCAGCCCATAAAATTGCATTCCTTCCACTGACATCAGCAATGTCACAAATGAAAGATCTCGATAAAAACGTTTCCACAACTTTCTAGCAAAATATACAAAACAATTCTTAAAAATTTCAGTAGCTTCAAAAACAAAGTGTTGAAAAGAGATTTAACTTGAACTTTAAATGCATCGTAAATATTTAATAACTTTAAATACACCGAGGAAAATTCATAAAAATTAAAATTTCTCAGCTGTATCTAAAACATGTTAATTCAAAGACAGTTGTTACACTTTTAAAGTTAGTGAGAAGGAAACTTACCATAATTATACATCTGATTCATTGCAAATGTTTCTCTTAAATTTTTTTATACACTAAATCATGAAAATTTTAACATTTTAATTATTATTACACTAAATTTTCATTTTTAAGAAGGGTGAAAATTATTATTTTAAGAAATAATACTTAAAGTTTTTTTTTCCATTATGCCTACCATTTTTATTATCCATATACAAAGGGCTCGTTTAGGTCCATACTTACCTTCTTAACTTTTGCCTGGATGCAGCAAGTTATAAAAGCAGTGTCTAGGTATAATAAAGTGGTTATGCTCTACAAAACCAGAGCTTGTAATTAACATATTTAGCTTGTTTGACAAAATAACATATGCAGCTTTCTTAAGAGTTTTGATAAGGGAAGCATATAATTTAGTTTTATTTGATTCATTATATTTATAATCTCATCAATAAATATGATTAGAAATATATAAATTTAAAAAATGATAAATTTAAAATATGATTGCCTCATTTGAATAAACATAAAATGATATGTATACCTGGTTATGTTTTACTGAGTAACATGTATAGCTGCCAACATGAATAGGAAAAAAATCCAGTAGATTTTATCAAATAAAATAAATTTCAAGATAATGTACTAATATTTTATACATATGGAATTTTAGAAGTTTTTATAGTAATCAAAATAGAAAAACTGCTATGTTTTGAAGTTATGATTTACATTAAATGAACTTGATTGAAACTAATTATTATAAGTGAGGCTCGCTTTCCTATGTATTAGTAATATTTATTTAAACATTCAAGCAAGTAATAATCTGTACAAAATTTTTATTTTCATAGGGAACTTACTCAATTTTAGGAATTTTCTAAAATGTATAAAAACTATTAGAATTTTTATTAAACCAGTAGACCAGGGGAGACTTGCAAAATCGAGTAATCTCCTGGAAAATCTAGTAGAGTTGGCAACTATGTATATGGTAGGTAATTGTCGTAACTCTAAAAAAATTAATTTAATAATGTTTAAAACTAAAATAATCTGTAAAATGTTTACAAAAATAAGGGTTAAGTTCTAAATTATTTATTGGTCCCTAATTACATATCTCCGTTTTTTAAAACAGAGAAAAATATTTTTTTAAAACAGACATTCATTAAAATACAAATAAAACACCCAAATTGAAAATTTATTTTTCTTCAGAGAAATTAATAATTTATTTTAAAACTAGAACTCTACTTTGCATTAATTTAAGTAAGAATTTCATCTAGAGAAATATAATTGCTCTTTTTGACAAATTTCAAATATATTTCTGTACTGAGAAAGTTTTAATTTAAAATACAAGTTCAAAAATCCAAACAGGGTTAAATATGTTTAAAAAATATAACCATATCAAATTATGAGGAAAACTTAGCATTTATATTATATATTTACTACTTGGCATTTATACCATCATCATACTATACTATATATAAGGCATTTATACTTAATATTGGCATTTATACCAAAAATACTATATCTAAGTATGAGGGGGGAAATTGAGTTAATTGTAAAAAAAATAGCTTAATAAATAAAAAAAACCTACATAAATTATAAAAATAATACCTATCATACCAAATGTAAGAACAAAAATTTAAGAATTTCTAAACTTCAGATAAGTAAAATAATGAGGGAAATAGAAGATGTAAAGAACTTATAAATGAACAAAGAAATATGTTTCAAAAATGCCATCATGCTAATAATGAGAAAAACAGATATTTTGAATTCAGTTAAAATGTCTTAGCCTTACATAGATATAAGAAAATCACAGCTACATAAGTGACAAAAATAACCCTCAGAACCCAAAATAGCATTCAGCATTTCCTAGTTTTAATTATTAAGTAAATTTATGGAGAAAAAATATGCTAAAGTAAGCAAATAACATATCTATGAACATTGTGAATATGTAGAAATACAATAAATAAAATGTAAACGAATTTCTTACAGCATAATTATGAAAAGCAGCATAATGTAAAGGAGTTACACATTATGCTGCTTTTCATAAGCACTAGTGTAAAGGCTCTTCTCAGCACTAGTGTAAAGGCCATCATCATCACTAGTGTAAGTCATCAGCACTAGTGTAAAGGCTCTTCTTCAATAAAACATCAGCCTTATCAACAAAGCCTAATGCACAAAAATATGCATCAACTATAATGACATAAAAAGATAATACCAAATAATAATGCCAAAGACTTAACTAGTTAGTGAAAACTTGACATAGAAAAATTTATCTATCCAAAGTTGATCAAGATTTGGCAAAATGATTTTTGAAAAAAATCAATCAAAGTCCTGTAATCACATTGCTTCAAATCAAATAAAAACCATTTTTTAAGTAAAATACTTAGATTTCTAACTAAAATGGATAAAACTATTATACGATTATTACAAACTAATCCTTGATTGAAAACAACCATAGTTATTTTTATTCAAGCTCAACATCTTCATGAATTTATATGTGCAAAGACTTACAATTTGTTAGTTAGATTTCAAATCAAGAAAAAATTATTTAAAATCAGGAAATATAAAAAATAAACTCTTCCAATTTTCACATGACAGAGCAAATCAATCTTCCTTATTTACATGGATGTAACTGAAATATGTATAAGTATTAAACAGCTAATTATTACATATATAAATATATAATCAACAAATTGCAAAAAACTTTTTTTAAACTTGAATTTAACCTCTTGCCTCTGGAATATATTTGCGAAAAACGTGCCAAAAAAGAAAAAAATGTCTCTTTAATTTTGCTTCCTAACATCATCAAAATGTTAGAAATAGATAATTTTTTATAAAAACAAAATTTTAAATGAAATAACTACCATATTCAATATTTTCACATGATAGGGGAAATGTTAATGTACAGTAATTTTTCTCAAATTACAGCAAAATAAATCGAATGCCATAAATTTCAAGATAAATATAATAAACTAATAGAAAAATATTATTATTTATATCAACTGTCATGAATTCCATCCAAGAGAAGAACAGCAGAATTTGAAAAAAAATCTAACAAATGGCTGGAAACAACAGAATCTTTCTCAGAAAAATTCAAAAACAAGTATCACCATCCAATGGAAAAATGGTAAATTACATATTATGCATTGGAATTGAAACACCGATTTTTCTCTTGCACGAACTCAGGCCAGCATTCTAAAATTGGCGCATTTGCCTTACCCGAACAGAGTTCAGGCATTACAGGCAAAGGGTTAAGTTATCAAGTGAATATTTTAGATTTAAATAAAAATTATTTATAAATGTTTTTGTATAAAAACATTTATAAGATTAATATTATTGATCATATAAAGATGTGTAGACATTTAAACAAATTAAGAAAACACTAATAAATTCACATTACAATTACTGAATGGCCTATGTTAAATTTTTATTAAAATCTGTAATTTGGTCAATATTTCTTTAATGAAAAAAATTCATTATTTTTGAAATGAAAATACAACAAATATTGAAACTAAACATTTTTGTTAAAAGTAAAATGCTCCTACATTCATCCTATTTTATAATTCAAAAATTATTAAATGTTTAAATTCAATTATTTTTTTATATAAAATGGACAAAAATATAAATTGCATAATTTAGAATTGAAAAATCTGTAATACAAGGTTTCTTCCTGTATTTGCTAAATGTTAAAAGATTGGAAGCTCCTCAATTCATTCTTTTTTTAAGATCTTGCCAATAAAAGATATCCAGGTTTCTTTTCTTTCCATAAAACAATTTAAGAGTGCAGCAAATTTCCATGAAGAATGTGGTAAAGTCATGATACAATAAAAAGTCTCAAATTTTTTACTTCATTATATAGGGCAGTTAATCAGGAATCTCAACTCTCATAATTAAAAAGAAAATCTCAAATAGTCCTTATTAAATCAAATTAATCAAAGGGAGACTAAAATTTCAAAGTGCTGCTTGTTGACTGCTCTATGAGTGCAAGAATCCAGCACAGTATAAGCGAATGCAGATCCACGAGTCATTGAAATGATTGGTGCTTCTACATAAGTATAATGGTACACAAGAACAGACTATGGCTGAATGAGTTGTGAAAATCATTAGTAAAACATTGTGAAAACGACACTTTTTGTTATCGATAGTGACAATCAAATGCGGCAAAGAAAAAATTTAATTTAGGAAAAGAAAAAATTAAGCAATTTTTACAAACACTCAAGCTAAAAAGCATCTTTAAGCACTTTTTAAAAACGTTCTGTCCCCTGTATTTATTCATTGATCAATATGCCCATTGAAATTCTTCTTTATATTCGTAGAAAAAACAAAAAGAGTTTTGGACAATTAAGGTTTTGAAGTAGAACTGGTCAAATGCCTGCATTAGTTAAAAGCAAAAATGTAATTTGATATGATAGAAATGAGATTAATAAGAAAGAGATTTTTGTTCAGACATATTTAAAGTTAGGTTATAATTTTGCTTACATACATTTGCTGACGAGATTTTTTTCTTTTCTTCCATGTTGGATAATCCCATGTTTCAATGAATGCGTAATACCTTTTTTTCGTGTTCCCTTTGCGATTTATTGTGTTTTTGAAACGACATAAATTGCGTATTTTATTTGGAACGTTATAAAGCTGAAGTCGAATTACTGGACAAGTGAATTTAGTTACTTTAGTAATTAGTTATAGGATGCACTCTATTCAATGAGGAAAACAAAAAGTCTAACTAAACACGTTAATTGATATATAAGTAAAAAACGAAAATTGTGCTTGCTGCTTTGGATAGACAAAACTAATTTTTGAAGACAAATTTTAGCACCAAATTGGGTTTAAGCTACACTTTTTGCTCAATGAACGTTAGTTCATTGAACAAAGTTCATTGAGCAATGGTCATTAGTTCATTGAACATTAGAAGCTTTGGAACAGCTGAGAGCAATTTTGAAGAGAAAAAAAAATTTTTTTTTCATTTTTGTGCAGAAAGAGCCAAAATTTTGTTTTAAAGCATTTTGAGCAGCTGTTCCAATTCAAAAAAGAAAACTTACATGAAAAAATACTATGCAAATGCTGTTATAATATACATGCTGCTGTGCTGGAAATTTTTTAGCTACTGGTATGAAGGTCAGTGAGCTATTGTAGAGTCCCTTACTAAAAACATATATGCCATACTACAAATGTGCCTAATTGTCATAAAAAAGCATTTCCTGTGTTTATTTATGCAAATTAGATTAGTTTGAAAGTTTTCTTTGAACTGTGTCCCCTCTCAGTACATAAACAAGTTACACCATATAAAATTTTTTTAACATTGTTAACAATTGTTTGTCATGAGTTTCAATTAGTAAAATGTAAATTGAACAACAAACACAATGCATGAAAACAATAAAAGCAAATAACTCACAAGACGGAAATACAGTTTAAATTCATTTTTAAATCAATTTTTACCTTTCCTAGCAGCTCAATGTAGAGGTGTGCTAAATACATTATCTAATACATCTGTGTTGTATGTTTCCTTTGAAACCTAAAAAGGGAAAAAATTGAAATAAATTTAAAAATAACAGTCAAAGAAAATATGAAACTATTGTCAACTTAGTGAACTAATAAATAAAAAGAACAACTTTTCTCAGAAAAATTCTTATGAATTGTTAGAAATTACAGAAAAGGATCACATTTTTCAAAAAAATTAGACATACCTTTTTGCTAATACTCCTAAAAGAACAGATAAACATGAATCTTTAAAACTTGTTTTTGCTGTTTGCAATAATGGATACAATGTGACAATAGCACAGTTTTGTGTGGCAAACATTATTAATATCTAAAATATCATCAGAAAGTTGTGATTAAAACTTTATTTAAATTAATTTCTATCAGCAATTTTTATAAATAACTCGGCAATATCTTTTTGTCTCTGTTTCAGTGTTGTTGATTAATTTCCTAATTTAATCCTCTATAATTAAATAATAAATTTTATATCAGATATTAAAAAATTTAGATGTTGTTATTCCAATACGGAGGGCCTTGGCCCTCCAGGGGCTGTCACGTCACTAAGTTTAGTTTAATCATTATTTATAAGAAATCCCCCCTTTCTTAAATTTATTCATGAAATGAAAAAAATATCTATTTCTTAGAAAAACACTAAATATAAATAACATAAATGAAGTTCACAAATATAAATTTTAGATTACACAATACTGGCACCAAAATCAAAAATTTCTCAATTATTAACACAGCAGGCTTGTATTTTTGGGCACGGCACCACAGATGACATTTATAACAAATGGCAAATAAATCTAGGAATATTTTCCTCCCTTTAAATTAGTAAATTTATTCACAAAGTGAAAATTAATTTATTTTATATGTTCAGAATAAAGTGAGTATAAATAATGATAAATAAAGTTCAATGATCTATTTTGTTTAAGTAGGATTTTTAAATTATCAGTTAGCAGGGTTACATCTTTGTAAAATTTTGAGAAACAAGGAATACAACTTACCAAGAGAATTTCAACACAATCCAATGCACTAGATGTAGGATTTGTAGCTGCCCAATGAAAAGGTGTTTTACCCTGATTGTGCATAGATTAGCATCCTACAAAAAAAGTATTTTAAAAGTAATAAACAAGTAATAAAGTTTATAGTGAGATTAATAAAATCAAGGATACTCAAATTTCAAACAGAATAGAAATTTACCATAATTTCCTGTTTTATCCACGAAGGTGGACAATCTGTAAGGGCAGAAATTTCAGTTAATAAATTCAGTTCTGTTAATAAACACCACTGCCATATAATCTGTGGATTATATGGCAGTTTGTTTATTGCACCAATCTACTTTTAATTATGTAAATAAAAAAATATACAATGTAACTTTAATAAAAAATGTGAAAAAATTGAGTATGTGAATTCGGAGATGAGAACCAGAGCCTGATTGAAGAGTTTTTCGAGGGAAAATATATTTTACCAATGTTCTTCTTCGCAACTCCAAACTTGCATATGGGTGATTCTTTCTAAACATGACAATTCGGACCAAAAAATTTCTTCAAATTTAAAGTCTTCAAAATTATCAAAAAAATTTTTTGTATACTTCTTTAGTTACACTTATTAATATCTTACAGGTAGCAGTGTAGTTTATTGACATTTGCTCGAGAAACAAAATACAATAGAAATTCATCATATCTTGAATGCCAAGAAAATGACATATTAGCTTTGAAGTTTAAAAAACAGTCATTTTAAGTTAATAATAAGTAACTCATCTTAGGCCTTTATGTTAGATGAACCTTAAATTGTTTAAATTAATTATTTTTATCCACCGTAGGAATTTTTTTGTTGCTGTTGTACAGAAAAAAATTGTGTATAATAATCAATTATTAGATAAATAAATAACTTTGATTACACTCAAGCATATTACAATCATATATAAGCTTGGTATTAGGTTAATATTTGCTTTTCCTCCTTACTGTATTAGCAGTTAAAAAAAAAAAATTCTAGTAACACTTCAATGTTCTGCATTCATAAGCCAGGATAATGACAAATTCACCATTCTATAGCATATAACTTCACTTTAATTTAATATTTTGGCTTAAGACATTTATATTCTGCTGAAAACAGGATTTCTTAAAATAACTTACATAAATCTATGTAGTTTATGTTATTAATGATTTCAAAAAGCCAGGAAAATGACAACACAAAAACCTACTCACCTTGAAAAATTTTTTTAAATAGATTTTGAAGCAGAAAATTGGTTCTTTATTCATGCAATAAGACATGTTTATATAGTTGGGCAACTAATCAATCCATTAACATAAGACCCATTAACATTGCTGGCTCTATCTATTTTGGTTATAAACCACTAACTAAAAGTAGCCAAGAAAATGACAGATTTTCTTGGGACACACAAATTATTGACAGAAAAAGTTATTTTAAACCAAGTTTTTGTAAATAATACCCTCTGCGTATATTCTAGAAATGCTAACACTGGTTGAGATAAAAAAAATTAGATATTGAGAAATTTATGGGAAGTTTTGAAGCTAGTTATTATTGGAAACATTGTTTAGGACATACCAGGAAAATGAAATTTTGAAGTTCAATTAAATTTTTTAACTTTACAAAACAGTCAATGCTAGTGCAAAGTCATTTTAAAATGCTGTTTATTATTATTTTTTTTAAAAAGTTATTTTAGTATTATAGTATTAAATCTTGGAGCAAGAGACAGTGAATTGTCATATTTCGTGAGTTTCACCCATATACTAACTTTTTGCATATAGTAGAAATGGTCCCTTACACTTTAATAACGGACAAAAGTTTTAAAAAAATTGGTGATGTTTGATGTAAATAATTTCAATAAATAAACCACAGAGATGATTTCAATACTTTTTTAACAGCTAATCTGTTAATTATATGCAGGAAATTATGGTAATTTATTTTGAGGAACCATTATATCATTAGGCAAAAGATGTCCTTATATTCATATGGTGTATCCTTACATTAATATGGCACTGTTAACTGACTAAAACAATGAATAAAGCTGTGAATAAAGCACAAAAGTGCTAGATGTGAACAAAGCACAAAAAATAAAAAGATCATACTTTTAATCCTATAAACAAGATTCTTCTTCAGTGTTTAAACACAAAATGTAATTCCACAGTGGCATACTATTTTGCATTTTGACATTTAGAATTATAATTATATCCATTTTGTGTTTTATTCATAATGTTTAGCTTATCATTCACAGCACAAAGTATAACTACGCACAGAACAAAGTATATACTATCTTCATTTCGATTCTTACATTCAGATTAACAGGGAAGAAAATATAAAATGCCATAACTTAAATCTGATTGAACTAATGATCTTAACAAAAAACTTTCCCCATACTTTTTTCAAAGATTAGAATGAAAAAAGAATTAGATTTTCTTGAATTTTCTGGTTTATCCAGAGAAATAGGCAACAAGTGTTGTTCAGGGGAAAAAATTTGATCATTTCTTACAAATGAAATTTTTTTTACAAGACATAAAAAAGTATAATGTCATCATGAAAAATTTTGACACCATTAAAAAGAATAAAGTTAAAAATTTCATTAAAGATTTTAACTATCGATTAAAAAAATACCATAATACCATAACTAAAAAATTGTAAAATTTGAAATTTTGATTAGTAAAAAAAAATTAAAGTAAATTAAAACATTAATAATTTATTTTTTAAAATTTCTAATCTCTTAAATATACTTTGTATATCCATACAAGGGCTTGTAAATTATATTATGTTTTTACCATATGTGTACACAACAGTCCAATAAATTGTTATGCTTCATAAAAATAAAAAAAAAATGCTTAAAGATAATAATAAAGAAAATAATAACAAAGTAAAATAACAAAATAATATAGAAATATTAAGAAGCTTTGAAGAATGTTATGATCCATAAGTATTATTGACAAATAAAAGTGCTGATGTAAATTGCTGTGTATTTAGCCATTCAAGGCTGCTATGTGAACAAACTATCACATCACGAATACTCAATCAAATCTGGACATCCCCTCTTCCCACCAGAGGAGTTTCAGTTTAAACCCTTCACTAGCTAATATTGCATTAAATTGCATCTTCTACATTCTAAACTTTAAATGTTGTATATTATTAATAAAATTTTGCTTGTGATATATATATAAAAGTGTCTATTCCTAAAACCCCACATTATGGAACCATTATTATTGTCCCCAATGTTGCTGGATAGATTAGTAATACTGGGTTGCCACAAAAAATGAACAATATAGTTACTTTTAGTAGCCTAAAGTAGTTGCCGAAATAAGAACAAAAAAAAAATGGCTAAAACTTTATTAAATGTCTTAGTTGTCATATAAAATTATCCACTTAGTCAAGTTGGTCACAAATATGATAATATTTATCTAAACATTAAAGTTCTAGCACAAAATTTTCATATCAAAAAAATTAGAATATTTGCACAAAATTAAATACTTTTAATTGCTAGAAATCATTCAAAAAAATATTTTTTCACTAAAAAAAAAATTTACTTTTTCTAAAAATTTTTTAGTTTAACCAATAATTGATTTAGCAAATACACACATAAATATATATATTGTGAAAAGTGATTATTCAAATTCAAAATTCACGCATTGTAATATCGTTTCGTTTTATAAAATCATGCAGAATTTCATAACAATAACCATTGAAAAGGTGATCGAGAAACAAAATAGATTTACAATGGAATCTGAGCAAATTGAGCGCATTGAAAAGTCAGGACTCAAATTCGCAATTCCACATTTTTTTTTCCCTTAAAAAAAAAAAAAATCATTATGTGCAGAATCTACCGTGGGCTGCAGGTTGTAAACCCAATTTATACTAAAAAAAAAAACATTGCTAGGAGTACAGAAAAGTCTCCCAATAGTCTTCTTTTCTTAAAAATAATTTTTTTTTTTAGCCTTTCAGACAAAAAAAGTTACCATAGTCGCCTCATGTAAAAAATAATTTCAAATAGTTGCATTTTAGTCGCCTGTGGCAACCCTGAAATAGGTACTATCTTTATTAACATGCAGTCAACAAAAATTCTTATAAAAGTTTTATGATTTTTAGAATTCTAACTTTAAAGAAAAGAATATACCTTTAAAGAGCAACATTCCAACATGACCTGCATTTGCCCATGCGCCACACCAGTGCACGGCAGTTTTCTGTAGAAACACAAATATTAACACATTATTATAATAACACTGTGGATAATGTTCAAAGCATTGAAATACACCTAAACCTGAATATCACAAATTCTTTAGACAATACAAGGGAGAAAAAAATTGCATTTATTACCAGGGTTAGCAGGATTTTTAAAGTATGATTAATCTCCAAATTTAAATTTGATTTTTTTTTATGGGTACAATTTTTATTTATGGGTTGAAATTAAATTCAGATTTGCTAAGAATACTGCAGAAATGTTTTTTCAGGTTTTCTTAGTAAAGAAACAAAAAAAAATGGAAGAATATACGAGTATCAGTATAAAAATATTATCAACTCTGAATGAAAAAAGTGATCGAACGTTATTAGTGGCTAATGGAGAGCGAGCTGTTTGTCCCAGAGAATCAGAGTTATCAACATGTACTGCAGCTTTGAGTAGAAGGTTAACACATTCAAATTGATTGTGAATAACAGCCAACATCAAAGGTGTCTTTCCACATTCATTCTTTTTTATTTCAAGAACTTCAGGAGCAACAGTATCGATCAATCTCTTTAGAAAACTTTTATTACCAGAAGAGCTTGCTATGTGTATGGGCAATGGCATCCTTGCTAATAATCAAAACAATTGTAAGCAGTATAAAGCAATGGTAGAAGCTAAAAAATTTGACAAAGAAATTCCCCAAACCAATGAGTAAAGGGCTGGGATAGCCTGGTTGGTAGGGCACAGGTCCCATGTCCAAGAGTTCGTGTGCTTGATCCCAGGCAGGGCGAAGATGTCCCCTGTAGTAAATGGAGACTGATGCAGGTTAAATCTGTCGAGTCGCAAAGTCCTCCATGTTCCTAAAACAAATCAATACCTCTGGGGGCACTGATCCAGGAGTTTCCTTGTCTTAAGGATTGTGTTCGAAATTATAAGGCTATGGAGTTGAACATGGGTAGTCGTAAATAAACAATGAGTAAGAGCCGTGGTGGTTCAGGGGATAGAGCTCTCGCCTTCTAATGAGATGAATCGGGTTCGAATCTCAGCAATGCCTCGTCAATACGAATTCCGCATCTGGCTCATACTGAACACAATGTTGATGTAAAATATCCTAGGTGGTAGACAGATCACGGGTTAGAGTCTCCAAGCTATCAAGATAACCGTGGGAGGTTCTCCTCTCCATGTAACACGAATGTATGTATTACCAGTAGTATCGATTATCAGTAGTACCAAATCCCCACGAATTACAGGAGGAAGTAGCTTGATTGTGGTAAATTTTAAATATTATGAGTTGCCTGGAGTAACAGCGTTCTGCCAGATGATAATAGTTATTCTTTATTTTGATGGGATAACATGTTTTGCTTAATCTAATAATGTAAGGTAATCCAGAAGCACAACAGATAATAAATAAACAATTTTAGTGTTGTTGTGTTGAAGTTTAAGGTAAAGTTTTGAGCAGGATTTTGTACTGTTGTTCAGTACTAATTAATTGCAGCTGATCTCTCCCCATACGTAGAACGGGTATTCAGTTGTAAATTAATACAAAAACAATGAATAAATTATAATTAACATCAATATTTATACAATAACATTTTGTGATTGTTTAAATGAAAATAGAATTTTAAATTATATTTGTATTTTAGTGAATACTTTCTTAAAGGGGGGATGTCATATAACATCTGGAATATTCAGTCAATAAAGATGTTTGTGTTTTAACATACTTAGTATGTAATTATTGTTACCAGCATACCATTACAGTTAACAAATAATATTGTGATAAAATAAATGTCACAAATAATGTTAATTTCATTTGATTCTAAGAGTTAGTAGTACAAATATTAAGATGAAGATAACAAACATTAAAATGTTTTATTCCTCTTACTAGAGTTTGTTTTCCTTTAACTGTTCAGATCTTTTCATCAATTCTTTAAGAGTGTTTATTGAAGCAGTGTAAATGTAGAAACCACTACATGTTTGTTTTTAAAATTTTCAAGTTAAAAAACCTTTTTGCACCTAAGCGATGATTGTTGATATGCACAGGTCCTACTGTATTCTCAGGGCACTAGTATCAGAAATATACATGTGATTATTTATTTATTTTTTAACTACATCTGCAACAAACAACAGAATAACACATCTAAAACATCGAAACAAACAAAAATTGGCTCACCAAAAATTTAAAAATTAATATTTAACAACGCATTTAATCTTAAACAGTGTCTGAAGTTCATTTTTGCTTAAAAACTTCATTAAGAAAAGCTATTTTCCTTAACGAAGCTGTGCGAATTTTAAGCACATGTCTTTTAAAACAAGTAAATATTTCAAAGAAGAAATATAAAGAAAAAACAAGAATTATTGAATGAAATTAATTATTTTAAGTTAGTTTTTTGGTGATTCTATCTAACGTACATGGTATCTCTTTCTAGACCTTAAAAGCTCAAATAAATATGAAAAATACTCAAGTATTGCAGTAAATTTTAACAAACCAGTTGTGCTATAACCATTTTTAATACTTATTAGTAGTTTGAATTAATCTTAATAATTTTCTCGTGAATACCAATGATGAGTGATGTTGACTGATGGACTTTTTTGGAACTCTCTGCAGTATGCAGTATTTTGCTTATAGCTCACTTATCGTAGAGTGAGAATTTTAATCCCCTGAAGAGTGGGGATGGCTTCCCCTGCTTTAGCAGCTCGATGACCTGAGCGCAGTATCATCAAAAGTTAATTTTTAATTCTTTTAAAAATTTATTTTATTTAATTTTTTTATTTCCCTTTTATTACTTTAATTGTTGTGGTAGTTCATTTACGTCGCACTAGAGCTATTGGTGACGGTCTGGGAAACATCCCTGAGGATGATCCGAAGACATGCCATCACAAATTTGATCCTCGGCAGAGGGGATGGCACCCCCGACGACCTGCGCGCGAAGTCGATCACTTTACGGTAGCACAGTTTAACGAGGACCCAATACCGTACACCCTCGGTCCCTACGCTGACTGATCCAAGTGGTCACCTACCCGCACACTGACCGCTGCCAGTGATGCTTGACTTCGGTGATCTACTGGGAACCGTGTCTTAACAATCAGTCCCATGCGGGACTTCATTACTTTAACGTGAATAAAGTTTCCTTTACCAAAAAATTCGTAATTTTTAAACAGCGTTCAATATTTAATTTAAAAAAAAAATACTAATAAAGTTTTTATTTCATATTTTTCTAAAATTTCTTTTCCAATATTTTAACGTGAATAAAGTGTTCTTTACCAAAACTTTTTTCTTTTTCTTTGACCCTATATCTCCCCTAAATATTAACCTATAATTGGGTATAATATAGCCTACGTCACAGGCTGTGCTGTTCCTACTAAATTTAACCCATGAACGGCATTTTCTGCGAGCCTAACTTCAAGCCACAAATAAACAAACGAAGTGTTCGATCGTTTAAATAGCTGCTCGCCAGATTTTATTGCATTATAAAGAAAAGTTATTGAAACTAAATACAACTAAATAAACAACAACAACTAAAACAAATAACAACAGCTACTAATAACAATAATTAAATAAACAACAACTAAATTCCATTCGTTTAGCATTGCGTCAGATGTTGTTCCTACTAAATCGAAGTAGTTGTGTTTTTTTCATATTATACCCAATTTTCAAATTTGTCCAGAAATTAATTTGTTTAATTTTATTCTTTTCTTTTTCAATATTTTAACGTGAATAAAGTGTTCTTTATCCGTAAATTATTATTTTTCTTTTAAAAAGAGCGAACAATAGCTAAAAAACGAATAAATTTCTGCTCCGACGCTACGCATACAAAAGATCAAACATCTGTACTTATCATAAGCTTATGATTTTTGAACTCGGCCGGAAATTATAGTTTATTATACTACGCAATCGTACCAAAGGAATTTTTATAGAAAAATTAGGGGGCCCACGATGGGCTAAAATAGATTCCTTTAATAAAAAGGCAGAGAAGCTCTTTTGGCATAATAATCAGGGCAACAGCTTGTGAGGCGTAAAATGGTCAGAAATGCCACAGGCTAGTTAGCCGAATTAATAAGTTGTAGAAGTTGTAATTAAGAATTTGTGAACCCGGGTTCGATCCCGGTCAAGGGGAAATTTTTAATTTTCTTGATTTATTTTTATTTATTTTAAATATTTTCATTATTATAACGTGAATTAAGAGTAACGTAACCCCCTTTAATATTAACTTATAATTTTCAAACTCTGCCAGAAATTAGGGTTTTATATACCAAAGAATCGTACCGAAGGAAATTTTTATACACTAATTAGGGGGCACATAATGGGCCAAAATAGATTTTGTTAATTAACCGGAA